GGACCGAGCCCTCGCCCAACGGGAAAAACCTTTGGCTCACGAGGCTTTCAGCTGTAATGATCTAACCATTATGACGTGCTGTCTCGGACTGCTGTTAAGAGATAAGGGCCCATCTGGCTGTTTTTATTTATTTGGAAGCATTTGGGGAATGGCAGGGGAGAGCCCGAGAGGGCAGGAAGAGCAAGGGAAACAGAGATAATTCAATCAACGGAGAAATGAGTCAGAGTCTGGTGTGGAGGGAGGGAGGACAGCAAAGAGCAAGGCTGTAAGAGGCCAGGAGTCCCAGTTGGATCAGCAGACCTTCTTCCTGACATGGCCCAAACCAGTTCTGGTTGTATGGAAAATGCCACTCGGTCCACCGATTTTTCATCCAAACCTTGGAAGACCTCAAGCCGACCTCCACCACTGCACGACCATTCATCGGTTGGCTCCCTCAGTGTTCAGCTCGTAGCCGGCCATAAATAATCTGAGCAGCTTCTTTCATCTTACTTTTTATTCATCACTATAGGAGGACGGGAGTGGCCTAACTAATTTTGCTGCCTGAGGACACACAGACACGCACACACAAAACCCAATCTCCCAAGCTAATAAGGAAAGGGCTCAAAGCGGGCAGGGCAGAAAATCCTACCAGCAACCTCTCCCCGTTTCCTGGCACCCCCCCCCCCAAAAAAAAAGCTAGTTGAATTAACGAACCATTTGCTGCCTGTTTCTATTTTGTTCTCAAGCACTCGGAGAAAAGCAGATATTTGAAAATCAAGCCACCGGCCCCACCACCACCACCACCGAACCCAAATCCTGCCTCATTTTCCAGTGGCAAACTGTGACACTGAGAAATCTTCATGCCCTAATTCAAAAATCTGCAAATGTTCGATGCCAATGGATGTACAGAGTTTCGCTCCATGCAGAATACTTGGAGTTTCCTTTGTGGGACTCCGAGGCCCAGAATCCCCCAACAAGCATGGTCGAGAGAATTCTGGGCGACACCGGACAAATTAAGTAACAGACATAGGACTTTTTCAGAATTCTCCAAAAGACAGGAAGGATCTTTTTTTAAAAAAAAAAGTTTTTTGCCTGCGTTGCAAACAGACTGTTTAAAAAAAATTCTTGAACGGAAATGATTCTTTTATAGGACAGGCGGCAAAATTAAGGAAAAAAGATGCTCTAGTCCTTGTTTGATCCTTGTTAAAAAATCCTAAAAATAGACGAGTGTCACAAACTTTTTGCATCAGATTGATCTCTTCAAGGCCCAGAGCGAGATGGCTTTTACTGTTCAAGCTCCCTTAAAGTCCTGGGGGTTTGGGGGGGGGGGGAAAGAAAAGCCTCTGGGGGGAAGAAAACCCTCTGAAAATATTCCTCCATTGAGCCGGAATGTAGTTGATTTCATTTATTTGATTCTTTTCTTCAAAATGCCCATCGCCTGCCCTGTATCACAGGCTCTCCAAGCAGCCTTACCAAAGCCACTGAAAACAATTTGAAACACAAGGCATTGAAGACTAATTCGAATTACCCCGCTTAAAACACAATTTATTTATTTATTTAGGTATTCATTTGATTTATACCCTGCCCCCCTAGACAGCGTCTACTTGGGGCGGCTTACAAAATCATAAAAAAAATCATAAAATGACAATAAAACGTCACAATCAAAGTAAACGACATTCATAATCACAAAATATAAAAAACATGACGTGAAAACCTTTGCAGGCCACTATCCTCCATCTTCAAGGGCTCTAAACCTGTTTTGATTTGGTACCGGTTTTAACGCCGTCATCCTGTTGATCAGGAGGCTTATTGAAGCCAAGTGGTGGGAGGGAAGGGGTAGTGTAGTGTAGTGGTTAGCATGCAAGACCGCCGTTTTTCCAATTCTGCATCCAGGTTGTTAAACTAGCCCGTAAACTCGAATCGTTTGCCATCTCTCAAAGCTGCCCACCCACCACACCCCTGGGATTAATCTAAAGTGTTAGGGGAGCTCTGGTTTATTTTCTTCGCCATTCGCAACCCAATTCGGCAAACTTGCATCAAAGTGAAAACGGAAACCATCCTGGCTTTTTGCTGGGCGAGGATCAAGAATGAAATACACCGTCATTCCGTGCAGTCACACATTTTAAAAAAAGGAAAGATTTTGTTTGGCAGCTTCAGGGATGTGTGTGTGTGTGATGTGACATGACTCCTGCTGAGTCCCAGCTTCCATCTTGGTCTGGGGCTAGGAAGGGCCCTGCATGGAGGGAGAACCACCCTGGCGGGAACAGGAGGCGTTCTCAGCAGCAGTGAGAGTGTCGCTTTCGAAGAGCTGGCCCCACAATCAGGGCCCGGAGTCTAAAAATAGGAGCCGTTGCACGGTGGTAGTGCTTTGGACTTCTGTCTGGCTAGCAAAGGGGGGGTCACTAGCCATTTTGGCACAGGGGGCAAGCCCACTGCCTTCCCCTCTCGCTGTCCTCTGCTTTAATGCACAGCACAAATCCCCAGGGATGCTGGCAAATCTTCAGGATCTTTGGTGTCCCAAGTTCGGTTCTGAATCTTTGGTACCGACTCCCATGTCCGTGTCCTTATAAAAACAGTTTTCCCCAGAAACAAGGGAGGGGGTGGGTGGGTTGAGTCTGAGTCATTAAAAAAAAAACCCAAGTCGAATCCCAGTTGAGTCAGAGGTGTGACTTAGGTCCGTCTTGGTAGTAAGTCCTACTACTCAAATCCCCATCCCTGCATTTCTCCAAATTGCTTTATCTTCTTCAAATTAGGGGTGTGAATCATTATGTGTCCCTTTCTTACACGTGCTGTCGGCTCACCTCTAAGGGGGGGGTCACTAGCCGTTTTGGCACAGGGGGCAAGCCCACTGCCTTCCCCTCTCGCTCTCCTCTGCTTTAATGCACAGCACAAATCCCCAGGGATGTTGGCAAATCTTCAGGATCTTTGGTGTCCCAAGTTTGGTTCTGAATCTTTGGTACCGACTCCCATGTCCGTGTCCTTATAAAAACAGTTTTCCCCAGAAACAAGGGAGGGGGTGGGTGGGTTGAGTCTGAGTCATTAAAAAAAAAACAGTTGAGTTCCCCGTGCGAATTAAGTCCGACTTGACAGCCAGTCTTGCAACGTCAGTCCCGACCCCTGCTCATCCCTCTCCGGAAGGGTGGTGCCATTTATTTATTTATTTCCCCCTTAACATGCAGCTCTATGTTTATGGCTAGATTTTGGTACCCCGTCCGGTTCGGAGCCCTGGGTCAAAGTCCGGAGCCGGTGGGGTTTCTAGCTGGGAGGGCCGGCCTGCTAATTATAGCCGGGCTCGTCCTCTTGAGCTGATCTTCAAAAAACACTCCCTTTGAGAGCTTTTTTTTTGGGGGGGGGGGAAATGAGCAAATAAATCATCCTCAAGTCCTTGAGGGCTGGTTGACTCATAAGCCTGGAGAGGGGAAAAAACCCACGATGGACCCAAACGGACACACAAGAGAAGGAAAATGTTTATAAAAAGCAAGATGGGCTGTCAAAAGGAGCAGCTTTCGTTTCCCTCTGTCTGCAGCCGAAGAGAGAATAAATTGCAAGCTATCTGGTGAAACATGAGTGACTGATTCACCTACATCATCATCATCATTATCACTGTTGTTGTTGAACCACAAGCCTCCTGGCAGGGCTTTAACATGGGCAAAGGAGCCAACAAGCCGCTCCAGTCCCGGGCAGAGTGTGGAAAGGATTTCCCTTTTTGGACTACAACTTCCATCGTCTGCCCAAATCGTCTCTGAGGGATTATGGTTGTTGTAGTGCAAAAAAAAAAGCCAGGTGGGAGCCATTTTTATCCAACCCTTCGAGGTAGGCCACGCTGAGGGAGAAGGAAAGAGAGACAAAGAAGCCCAAGGTGACCCTGGGAAGCTTCGTTGCTGAGTGGCTGGACTCGAACCCAGATCTTCAGAGTCCCAAACCTCTCTTCTAGCCAGGATGCCATGCAAAGTTTGTGACTCCCGTCCGCTGTAAAGTTCAGAGTAAAATCCAGAGTGGATTTGCCCCCCTCCCACATCCCTGGTGAAACTGGAGGGCCCCCCCCTCCGGCTTCCATGCTGGTCCTTGGGTTGGTTTGTGCCCTTGAAACGGAGCTTAATTAAATCCAAAGAAAAGACGGCGGGGCCGGAGAGCAGCCACGAAGCATTTCCAATTAAGTCAATCAATAAAATATGCCTCTGGGCTCCTGGCACAAGAATCCGCTTCCTTGTCTTAAAAAGCACATCTATTTCTGCTTGGTAGCGTGCAGGCTTCCAGGCTTCACAGAACACAATGTCAATCAGGCGCCATGCCTGTTCCAATATGCTCACCTCAGTCCGCAGCGCATCTTGATGAAGCTTTCGGATTTCACAGCACTCCTCGACGGTTGCCTCTGAGCACGTGCGGCGTGCTTTTATCATCACCCCTTTGCAGCGTGCTCTTTTCACCCTCCTCTGAGCTGGAAGAAGACACGTGTTCCTTTTTTCTTTAAAACACAAGGGGCTCCAGGAGGTGCCGACCCCTCCAAGGCGGCCGCCTGAGCCCTCCCTTCCCCTTATTTAAGGGTGACTGGGGGAGAAAAAAAATGAGCCCAACTTTCCTTGGGGAGGCGCCTCGCGTAGAAGCTTTATGGTAAAAAGGCAGGGAGGGGCGGGGCGGCGGGGCGCGCCTCCACCAATGGCGGGCCGTGTTCCGCCCAGGCCCCGCCCCACTCTCCCCATGTGTGCCAATATAGAGGCGCAAGTGGGGACTTGCCGGCAGAAGCGCGAGGAAGGGCGCAGGCGGAGGAAGGGACCGACTTTGGTGGCTCTTTAGGGAAAACGTCTCTTAGCATCCCAGGGAGGGAGGAATTTTAAAGAAGACTCCGGTTTTGCAAGGAAAGGGATTTTTTCCCCTTCTAAATTTAAAAATTAAAATTAATTGTTTGGTCTTGATAGTGGGGTAGAGAGGCAGCCTCGAACTCGTGGCCCCCCCAACAAGGAGGAAATCGTGCCTCGATTGGCCGGTCTCTGGAAGAAAGACTGGAGCATCTGCTGGAGAGCCTTGCTCGGCGGCCGTGCTGCTTTGGGCTCCTTGCTAGACCTCAGGGTGGTCTCTACCCCCTTGGTGGACGCCGTTGGTCCAAATGGGCCAGCCAGCCTAGGGGCACCGAATTCGCAGAAAGTGGCGAAAGTCCTCTCCTGGACAGGCCATGGCCGAGGCTGTGGGCCAGCGATGAAGCCGCGGGAGCAGCCCTGCCAGGGTCACGCCGGCCCATGCCCACCGGCGGCGGCAGTGGCCGGGGGCTTCCTGGTTCCGACGCATGGGTGGCTCTTGCCCGGAGTAACCCGGGCCCTCGGGGCTTGACATGACCACGGTGGCCTCGGGGCTGCAGGGCATGGGGTCAGTCTACATCGCCCTGGAGCTGGTCATCGCGGTCCTGGCCATCGGGGGCAACGTCCTGGTGTGCTGGGCCGTGGCCATCAACACCACCCTGAAGAACGCCACCAACTACTTCCTGGTCTCCCTGGCCGTGGCCGACATCGCCGTGGGACTGCTGGCCATCCCCTTCGCCATCGTCATCAGCATCGGCCTGGACACCGACTTCCACTGGTGCCTCTTCCTGGCCTGCTTCGTCCTGGTCCTCACCCAAGGGTCCATCTTCAGCCTCCTGGCTGTGGCCGTCGACAGGTACATGGCCATCAAGATCCCTCTTAGGTATGACCGCCCGCGGGAGGGGAAGGGGAGGCCGACAAAATGTACCGTGGCTTTCCAGACGCAGCTTGGCTCGCTGGCTCGAGCGATCTGAAGTCATGCTCTGCAGCCACGCCTTCCCCCGGGGGGGGGCCTTCATTGCAATGCCCAGCCTTGAGGTGGGTGCCAAAAGGAGAGGCCTTCATTTCTTTACCCCCCACCCCTCCATTGATTTCTCAAATTGAAATATTTCTGCCCTCTGCTCTCCCCAGCGATCTCGGTTACCCACCCTTCAAACCGCCCGGAAGCCGTTTCAAAGCCGCCTGAACTGTTTGAAGTGAGGGAGGCTTTCTGATGAGATCAAAACCTTTTTTTTTTATAACAGTATCAAACGAGGGCCATAAAACCGTTCGGTAGCCTGTAAATATGCTGGGAAGTGATATAAAAGAATTAAGAGTGAATCAAAATTCGAGTGTTTTCAAAGGAAAGGCTAGGTTAGGGTGAGTTATGGGGCCCTCCCACCTTTAACACTTTGACCCACAATTACCTAAAGATGGAGGGTTATTCCCTGCATCGGAAACCCCCCTTTTAAAGACCAAACTCTGCCCCCCGATTCAGTGCAGGAAAATCTGGTGGCTGTGAGTCATACAGGCATCAAACATGTGCCTCACATCTGTACGAAGAGGTGGGTTGGAAGCAAAGGGAGCGAACGGGCAGTTCAAATTTAAAAATCGGTGGTTAAGATTTTTTTAAAACCACAAGTTTAGGGACAATCGAGAAACTGCTGATGCATATCATTTCCCCGACGGTGCGTCCTGTGATGCCTGGAAGTTTGCAGTCTGCCAGTGAGAACTACCTATGCGTTTTCAGATCAGCCCTCTTGTGGCATTCAGCGGTGTCCGGGGGGGGGGTTGTGGTGGTCCTGCCGGTCTTGGTGGTGTGGAGAGCAGAATTATCCGCGATGCAGACGACGGCATGGTTTTGCTTTGATCTGTACAAAGGCTAATTACACCTCGTACCCCTCCCCTGCTAATTAAGAAAGGGTGCCAGGAGTTAAGAACTGCAGAACACCCCCCCACACACACCCCCAGGTGCTCTTGCCAAAGTTGGAGACAGCCATGAAGTTGCTTTCGTCAGAAATTCGGTTTCTGTCCACTTTGAAGAAACTTCACATGCAGGGGGGAAAACCCACGCTTGACGGTTTCCTCTGAGCGGGCCTGAAGGCGTCAGCCTTGTCTCCTCTTTCCTCACCGCCGATGACTAATGCCGGCTTGAGGAGGATGTCATTGTTTGAAAGCCGTGGTGAGGGTTGCTATGTAGAGCCTCCCTGTCCAGGGGCAGTCTATCTGGGGCTGAAGGCCCAGCCAGTCCGCTGTGTTCGTTCCCGGTCAAGCTCTGAGACCGCTTGAGAATATGGCTCCTCTTCTGTTCCGAGGAAGCGGCTGGGTGCTCGAAGGGTGCCGGTTTCTGGACTACAACGCCCAGAAGTCTCCAGGCCGTGGGCTTTCAGAGTCGTGGTCTGCCAAAGACCCCAGCTTGCACGCCTCTGGTGCCAGTAAGGCCGCAGGTGAAAAACACGTTCCTGATGGGCATGGTTTTCTCCCTGTGACTTTGAGTCGTGGGACAGTCTCTGGGTGACCCCGTGGCTGAAAGGAGCCCTGGATTCGAGATAAACTGTCTCTGGACGTGGAGGTTCGGGGAAAAGGTGCGTGGGTGCCGACAGAGGACAGCCGTGGGAACAGCCCGAGACTACGTGCCTGTTTGCCTGTCTGTCTGTAGGACGGGCTTCCATCAGTTGACATTGCAGCTCAGAGGGGGGGGGTGATACTTTTTTTCAGACTACAACACCCAGAATCCCCCAGCTCCATTCTGGGCCTGGTCATCCCAAGCTCTGATGAGCCTCTCAGCCGTCAAGGATTCGGGAAACTTTTTTGCTACCCCCCACTTTCTTGCCATCCACCGGAGCACAGATTGCATCTATCTTGGGACGTAAGGACCCCTGTCTGGAGGAGTGCCGATTCGCTGGTAAAAAATTTGTTGTTCGGACTACAACTCCCAGCGGCCTCAGCCAGCACAGCCACGGGAGAGGGATGAGGGTTTTTGCGCTCCATTGCTAAGGGTTCGCCCATCGTTAGCATATACATTTTATGGCTGCTATAGGTGTCTCTTGGAGGGGTATTGCAATACATAGACGGATAATGTTTCTTTATTGCTTTCCATACGTCATCCCATGGTGGGTGATTAACTCGTTAGGTTTCCCACCGTGAGGCGTGGCAGAGAAGTATAAATTGAGGCGTCTTTACGAGCCGTTTTCCCAAACTCATGGAGCAAAAGAAGTAAAATCTCTTTATTATGGGCAATAAGCCTATAGTTTGACCCCACGCGTTTCCTTATCTATCTCCACCTTGCTGTGTCGTGTACTAGAAGCCAGTGGCGGGCAGTTCCCCTGGCGTCCCCGGCCTGAATTTCAGCCACAACGCCTGGCCTTCCCACTTCGATCTCTGGCCGAAAGGTTGCCGACTCTTCGCCGTCAGCGTCTGCTCGTCAGGCCGGATGGTCTAGAAACCCCCACCCGCCCCGCTCGCTCGCTCTATTGAGGTTTCTGTCGTCAGTTTCCAATTTTATCTCCTTTTCACAAGACTCGTTCGTTACCCTCTCGTTTGCTTCCTTAAGCGTTGAGCAGAAAAATGACGGGATCTGGGCAGGGCAACCACGTCTAGAATCTTTAAAATTCAACTCAACAACAAAAAATCAATTCCAGACCCAGCTCACCCCCTATTTCCATCATTCGCCGTCCTCCAGAGGTGTCTGACTACGAGTCCCATTGTTCTCAGCCAGCTGGGCCGGGGACGATGGGAGCCATCATCTGACCCCAGCAGGTTCCTCATCAGTTAGATCTCGGCTCTCCTCATTTCCAGTTCAGGATGTGGGACTTGTAGTGGGGGCAGAAGAGGGTCTTTTTTCTTATTCTTCTTTTTTTAACTTAAAAGAAAAAAATATCGTTCTGGTTTTGCTTCGTTTAGTTTGCTTGGCTTTCCCCCTCCGTTTCCCCCAGTTTCCTGTTTCGTTTCTACGCCTACCTGTTCCGCGGCTCGGTTTTTAGCAACAGAGGAGCCCCAAGAGAGGAAAAAGATGGCAGCTGCAGGAGAAAAAAAAGAAGAGAGGTGCCTCCCGGATTTCTGTTAACGAGTGTATATGGTATAATCCTGTACGTTTTTGGAAAGAGAAGGAGCATCACAAGAGTTAGCGAGTCGATTCACATTCCTTTTAGCTGGAAGTGTTTTTAAGCTCCTCTGCAGTTTTTTCCTCCCAAAATTTGCAAGTTGGCTTACCAAATAAATAAATAAATTACTCAGGATTCTCTCCCTGAAGATTTCTAATAATCTAAAAGTCATGGCAGGAAAGGAGGAGGGAAGAGGGGAAAATGTAAAGCCGGCAATAGAGGCACTCGTTGATAAATGTTCATCTGGGATGGCGTATAGGGAGCCGGAAGAGTTAAATGTTGTTTTCTGAGGAAGTCCAGTTGTTTTCAGTCCTTATTTACACTCCCTCCAAAGTCTTTCTGGACTGGCTCTTAAGTAAAAATTAAAAAAAAAGATAATACCAGATCCTGCATCATCTCCCAGCAGAACAACAGAACCCCTTTTGTTCGTAGGCAGGATTTGCTCCCCAGAAATGTGGAAGGACGACCAAAATAAGAGGCCGAAGGACGTCTCCTGTCATTTTAACCAGGCAGGATCTGATGTTGTGAGAAATGTTGTTTTAAGCAGTACATTTGGTTTTTGAAGTCCTCGAGGAACTCTTCCAGGACTTAAATACTTCAAAAGTCGAAATATTTCTACCAGGCGTGGGGAATCTTGGGCCACCCAGATCGTTTGAACTCCACCACCGTTGTCCTTGTTTGGTGGGGGGCTGATGGGACTTGTAGTCCAAAGACCTCTGGGGGGGGGACCCACCCCTCTTCCCTGTTTGTTACCTTCTGCGTGGTCGGAATTATCCTGGTGGCTTAAAGGTTGGTATAGGATTACTCAGTTGTCACCGGGCGCTTCCTGGAGAAGTCGTTAACATAAATATTTGTTTAATGCATCAATCCATCCCACCTAACAAGGTAGCGTGGAATGTAGATCAGAAGCAGGCAAGTCGTAGTCTTCTGGAAATTGTGGGATGGCAGCTCCCATAATCCTGGCTAAGACCCATGGGAGTTGTAGTCCGTCAACATCTGGATGGGCTGCAAGAGTTTAGGTACGCCACCTAGAGTTTATGGAAGGAATGGCAGGCTATAAATATAACTGGTGGCTATCACGTCAGATCATTATCACATCTTCCTATTTTCTGACATTTCTATTTTCATATTTCTTAAAAATCTAAGACTTAATTAGGTTGGGATAAATTTAATATATTCTGATTTAAAACGGAAGCAGGGTCCAGAACCATGAGGGCTAGAGCCTTGGTTTGCCTTGTTGAGCTTGTGCTTTCGTATTCGAGGTGAGCGGATTTCTGGACTACAGTGCCCAGCTGCCTGGGGAATTATGGGAGCTGTAGTCACCCTTCCCCATCAAAAAAGGTACAAATCTGCACACCTCTTCTTTTTATCTGGAAAATGTCCTGGGTTCAATTCCAGACGTCTCCGGTGTGAAAAAAGGATCCATGATGGGGAAAAACACTTGTTCTCTCTGCCCGAGACCTTGGAAGAGCAGCTGCTGGTCAGAGCAGGAAATATTAGGCTGAGATGGTCTGAATTGCTTTTCAAGGAACTTCCTGTGTGGTTTTTTTGGTTTGGCTTTTTATTTATTTAATTTTATTTATTGATTGATTGATTTATCTATTTATTTTTGACATTGAGAGCTCATCTCTGTGCAACGAAAATTAAGTTTCTGTGCCAGATTTTTCCTGGGCCAGAAAACACGAGGGTGGGAGTTTTTGCTTTGTTGTTGTTGTTGTTGTTGTTGTTGTTGTTGTTGTTGTTGTTGTTCTTCTTCTTCTTCTTCTTCTTCTTCTTCTTCTTCTTCTTCTTCTTCTTCTTCTTCTTCTTCTTCTTCTTCTTCTTCTTGTACCTGCTTGTTTCCAAAAAGCTTTTTTCCCCTCCAGCAATCAAGTCGGTCATGAGATATCCGTGCATCGGCTGACTCGATTTCCTTCCTGCCATATCCGGGGTTCACTGAACGCTGCATTTTGGCCTGTGTTTTTCTTAAGACGCTGAGCTAAAAGGCAGCCCGCTCTGCTTGGGTGTCCCCCCCATAATCCCACCCTCTTGTCGTTGTGATTAATTAATTGCCAACAATTCTACCAATGACTAATAATCACTTTAATTCTGACCATCGCCCAGAGAGTCCCGCTGGCTGGTCAAAGTGTTTCCGGAAAGTCATGGAATAGTAGATTTATAGGATTTTCCAACCCTTGTCATATGGAAAGAGAAATACTGTATATATACATCAGCTCCTCCCTTGCTGGTCTTACTAATGAGTGGCAAGGAGAATTGTGTTTAACAATTACATTTTATATATTTATTTGAGCTGTTTCGGTGTCTGCCTGCCTGCCGTATTTCAACCAAATATGTCCTGCAGATTCATGGCCCTTGCTTTAGATTTAGTTTAGAAAAAATGCATACAGTACTTTCTAACACATTTTTCGCAAAATCCCGAAGGATTCCCATGAATTGATGCAGGAGTTTTGAACTCCGCCTTCTTGCCCATGTGTGGAAAAGGATTATGGTGGTGGTGGTTATGATGTCATCTCCCAAAGCTGGCTTGGACAAGGAGAAAATGAGGAAGATTTAAAAAAAAAAACTAAAAATATAGGAATGTAAACGAACAAACAAAAATTTGTCCAAACTGTTTCAAAGCTAATTTTTGCAGCCATGAGAACTAGAAACTTGCCCTTTAAAATAAAAAAAGGGGAGGAAATCTAAGAAAGAAAGGCTGAGATTTCTTGAACTTGAGAATTCCTACTTGCTGTTTTTACCTGTTGCTGTTTTTATAAAAAATTATGAAAATGGATGGTTTGGTGCTCTGTATTTTTACAGTTTCACAAAACTAGTCCATCAAAGCTGTTTTGGGAGGCGGGGGGGGTGAACAGGGAGAAATCAAATCGAGGGATCGGATTCTGGTGCATTTACAAACTTGATGAAATCCTTATATAAACGGGCGTAAATAGAAGCGCTTGAAATAACATCCGCCGCTGCCTGGAGAACGTAGCCCGAACTTGCCAACCGGGCGATGATGGCGTGATTTGGGTGGCAGAACGGGTTCAACCACATCTCTCAGTTCTTTATTCTTTTTTTTAAAAAATGCTCCATCGAGTGAATAGTTTGGATCGATGTTGAGACTCAGTATCATGAAGTTTGCTGATATTAACATTTGATTTGGAGGGGGGGTTGGCCACTTCTGGATAGCGGGCCAAATGCGGCCTGCAGAAATCCCACCAATCCGGCTTCTGGGAAATGCGACAAAAGCCCCACCCTCTTTAAGCCCCTCCTCCTAGGCCACGCCTCCTGGGATGGCCCCTCCCCTCTTAGGCCAGGCTTCCCTATTAGGATAGGAAAATAGGTGCTGTGTGTTACATAACAGCACTGATGTTTGGATAGGAAAATAGGTGCTGTGTTTTCCCCTCCATGGAGAGTTTCATCTCTCCGCCTCGGTCTTGCTTTTGAAAAGTTTCTAAGCCGCCTTGAGCAAGATTTTTTTAGGGAAAAAACGCTATAAATGTCTCCCATAATTAAAATATATATATATATGAAAATCTTCTAATTGCCTTGTCCCCTAAGAGTGTTTTCTTTTGAGATCTGGGTGGCAGTAACAAGCCAGCCCTATTAAAAAATGGTCTGAATGTGAATTATTTAATGGCGGTTGGAAAAAGAGAGCACCAGAGACCCACTTTCGTGTGTTAATAGCTCGATCAATAATTGAGAAATAAATCTATGCCAAGCCAAAGAAGGAAGGAAAAAGGTACACAAAGAGGCTTTGCTGAGGAGGGGGATTAATAATTGAGTATTTGTTTATTTTGCAGTATTGAAAGAAAAACATTGGCGTCGGAGGGAGCAGAGATTTTAAGTAGCTTTGGCCAATTTTGATTTTTAATAAATGCAGAAACGGAGAAAAGAGGAAATGGGCGTTTCTGTTGATTCTCTCTGAGCGTGATGTTAAGCGAGGGGTGGGGTGGCCTCTCCTTTGAGGCCTCAGGCGGCGAGATGTTTTGGGTCTACCTCATCCTGAACTGCCTCCCGGCTTGGAGAAATCGGATGCGGTCTTTTCCTCTGGTTTATCTCGTTGAACCGATGTGGGCGGTGAAAAAAAACACACACACACACACACAAAACCACAAACAGGCAGAAGGTCTGAACAAGAACGAGAACTTGTTTTTTGCACTCGAGAAAGTCGGGGTGTGTGTGTGAGGAGGAAGAAATGGGAAATGGTCCTGCCGAGAAACAACACAGAAACTCAATCCCCGGCAGGGAAGGATGGGCCAGGATTTAATCCTAAATCCCCTTTTAGGGTCACGCCTTCTGTTTTTCTGCTGGGTTGGGGCCTCGGCGACGCCGTGAGCTGAAAAGGTTTAGCAACGCCGGGCTTGGGTTTGCCCGGGCGCTGAGGTCTTGCAAAGCTTATGTGAAGTCAAGAACTGAAGTGACCCCAGGCATTGGGAGAGTGGAGTGGAGGGAGAGGATGCCCCCCCCCCCCCCAAAAAAAGAGCCTTTGGTTTCTGGCCTCCTCCTTTCTCTCTCTCTCTCTCTCTCTCTTTCCAAAGTGGTCGCTTCTTATTTTGGGCATGAAATTTCTATTCAGCCGGGAACGTCTGGTTTCCATGGGGATCCTCGGCGCAGACAAGGAGAACGCGGCCCTTTCAGGCCCCTGAATAAGGACCCGGACAAGACGGGAGTGCTAATAAGAACGCCCCCCAAAGAGAGCCAAGAAGGGCGCCTTTTGTGGGGTAGCGACAGAGGGGACTTTCCTGCCACGGAGGGGAAGAGCCGAGCCTGGCTCGTTCCGTTTTTCTGCCGATAACCCTTCCTCTTCTGTCACCCTCGCTGTGAATTGCAGCCACTGTTCTCCTTGCTGCAACCTCCTCCCCCCCCCGGCACTCCTTTTCGAGAACTGCAGCAAAATGTTGCAGCACAGAGGCCTTCTGTGCGGGGTTCCCGTCAGCCTGCCCAACGGGGCCCTTTTGGGGGGAACTCCGCGCCGTGCCGTCCCCGTTCTCTGGGCCCGCTAGGGCGAGCAAGAACATGAGGCTCTGGAAGGCCACTCGTTGGCCCGCTCGTCCCTACCCATTGCACCACGCACCCTTTCCGTGTATAAACATTTCTGACCTACCCTAGCCTTTCTAGCGTTCTTCTTGCGAGACCAAGGGAGGAGAATTTCATTCCTTTCTGGCGCTGGTGGGATGACCTTAGTTCCCCCCACACACACACACACACCCCAAGCTACCTCCTAGAGTGGCTGTGAAGCTCAAGGTTAGAGGAGGGAGGGAGGAGGTTCCTGCAAACAAACACAGGATATGTGTCAAAATAATCATTGAGCAGGTAGCAGGGTGACGGTGGAACTCCTGGCCCGTGGATAGGGGCTGTGGCGTATCTGGGGTTTTTTGTGTCTCTGTTTTGATGCGAAAGGGAAATCCAGTTTTAGGCCTCCGTCGATCTCCTGCTCCTCCTCCTCCACGTCCCCTGCTGTTCCCGACATCCCTCCATTGTTCTGGTTTCTCGTTAAAGTTTCTCCCCTTCGTTTTCCCATGAAAACGAGAAGAGAAGGTGAGCGGGGGAGGAATCCGGAGGCTGGACGTGACGTTTGGCGGCCCTCTTCCCACCCAGCCTGCCCGGGGCTCTGGAGGACAGCAGGACACCCACCCACTCCCTCGGGAAGAGCCGTGGCAGAAGCCTCTGTGTTCTTGGAACAGGCAGGAACCCCAAAGGTCATCCAGACCACCCCTCTTCCAGTGCAGGAACCGGTCGCTAAAGCAGGCCATCCGGACGACCCCTCAACCCTGCAACTTCCAGCGGACTGTCGGCCACCTTTCTGAGGGGGTCTCTGCCCTCATTAAACGGTTCTTCCCATTGGGACCTGCTCGTTAGTCGAAATCCCATTCCTGATAGGAAGGTTTGTTGTTGTGTGGGTGTGGGTGTGGGTGTTTTGTGAGATGAGCCTGGACAGGGGGAAACACTGGAAAAACTTTAAATCATCCTAGGCCAAGCTGCAAGGAAAAGAGAGAGAGAAGATCATGGACCATTCATGTTTCTTGATTCCATGGCCTCTTTCCAAAACAGCCCAACCTTTTCCCCCCGGTCAGTGTCACTTCCTGGCTCCTCACGACCTGACGAGGTAGGCCCGGCGCAGAGATCTCGCCGGGAAAGATCCTGGTTCTTGGAAATCGGCGTGTCGGTGTTTGTGGGTGGTCGTTGTTAATCCCCGGTCTTCTCGGTTTGCAGATACAAGAGCCTGGTGACGGGGAAACGGGCCCGAGGCCTCATCGCCGTCCTGTGGCTGCTCTCCTTCGGCATCGGCCTGACGCCGCTGATGGGCTGGAACCGCCGTGCGTCGGCCACCGCCAACTGCACGAACCAGACGGGGAGGCCCTGCCTGGTCAAGTGCCTCTTCGAGAACGTGGTGACCATGAGCTACATGGTGTACTTCAACTTCTTCGGCTGCGTCCTCCTGCCCCTCGCCCTCATGCTGGGCATCTACGTCAAGATCTTCACCGTGGCCTGCAGGCAGCTGCGCCAGATGGAGCTGGCCGGCTACTCCCGGGCCACGCTCCAGCGGGAGGTCAACGCCGCCAAATCGCTCGCCATCATCGTGGGCCTCTTCGCCCTGTGCTGGCTGCCGCTCCACGTGGTGAACTGCCTCTCCCTCTTCCGGACGGACTTCGCCCGGGACAAGCCCGTCTGGGTCATGGACGTGACCATCATCCTCTCCCACTGCAACTCGGTGGTCAACCCCATCATCTACGCCTACCGGATTCGGGACTTCCGGTGCACTTTTTATAAGATCTTCTGGCGGTACATCTTGTGCAAGGCGGATGGCTTCCACAACTACCCGAAGGGTCCCGGAGATGGGAGTCGGCATCTCTCTGTCAGCAACGTCGCCACGTCGCCGGCCTGCCTCTAAGGGCCCGCGTTTCTTGACATCGTCACTCCCCCCCCCAAACGGACCCGCATGAACGGCTGCTTCGGACTGTGACCGTCAAAACTCCCGGAAAAAAACTGTGACCGCTCATTCTCTCTGGGTTTCCGTGGTTCGAGTCTGTGTTATATATTCCTGCCCTGAGGTGGGAAAGAAAGCGTGATTTCTAAGGTCCCATAAAACTTGGAAATTCTGGGATATATCTATTTGTGTGTGTGTGTGTGTGTCTAGGATGTGTTTGCTGTCTTAAATCCACCGTGGGCCTCTTGGCAGAGGTCCGTGCAGGCTGAGCCTTTTAACTGGAAGTTGGATAACCATTTCCATCATCCCCTAGCCGGGAACTGTGATCCCAGGGGCTGGAATTCAGTTCAGATTCCGGGGAATTTCAGTTCCAAACGGGAACCTTTCCAGCCTCTGGATCAAAGTTTAAAACAGATTTAACCTTCCCTTCCCTGGCTTTGGAATAACAAAACCAAATCGTGCATTAAATTTATGTCTCGTAACCAGACTCCTAAATTGTCCCTCCTACTCTGATTTTCAGATGTCTTTTGGCTTTATTATTATTCTTAGTTCAACACTCAAAAGAGAGGTTTGTAAGGTCAAGGGGGTGAGGGAACGCTAGCCCCACCATTTGACCGTTCCATATTTTGTTAAGTAATTGTCTTCACGCCCCCCCTTTTTTTCCTTAGAGGGATTAATTTAATTTTATCATCAGTTCTTTGATGCTGCTTGTATTCTCAAATGGGAAATTGTTTTAGCTAGACCAGTAATGGTTGAAATAATGTGTCCTTTTAAAATAAACAAATAATAAGTACTTTTATGACAGGTAGGGGCAGAGTTAAGGGGAATCTGTGACTTTCAACAGAATACTGGGCAAGAAATGGCCTGTTTTGGACACAGGTATTTTATTTCTTTCCTTTTTTAAAAAAAATAAAATCATTGCAAGGGAAACTCATTCATTAAGACAGATTCCTCTTGCTTTGATCCGCGCGGGATGCTTTAACCTGTTCCAATATTAAGATCTGGGGCAAAGTCTGGGAAAGCTAAAGTTTTTGAACGTTAACTCTCCAGATTATTGTGATTTCTGTTATTGTTTTGATTGTTGGTTCTGCTGTCCCTGCTCCCCATTTAAATTAATTTCTAGCCTGCCGCTCCTGCTAATTTAAATAGGACCAATTTAAATGAAATTATCTCTTGCACTTGATTCAGGGAGCTTAACGGTCAGATTGGTCCTGGATCCTAGTCAACTGCACTGTGCGCTGACTTTTGTCGGCATCCTAAGGGCATTATCTTCACCTCAGTGAGGACTAGAAACTTTGTTTTAAAAAGAAGGGAAGAGGAAATTCTCAGAGGGGTGAAACTGGAACCTGTCACCCTGGCCCCCATTTTTTGCCTTGTGCTCGCATGAAATTTGGACAGAACACCAAGTCCCGAATTCTAAGCCTTGCACTACGTATTAGTTTGGAACCAAAACCTAGTTTTACATCTTCCCCCCCTCCAAAAATTTGATTTACAGGGGACCAAAGTAACGCAGGTCCTAGAGGAAAACAAATCTGAATTGTTTCTAGAGACAAAGATATTGAAACTGAGGCTGTCCTCCTCCTCCTCTGGGTCCATCACGAGAAGGCAGGATGCTCTGGAAAAGACAACCGGGCCAGGAAGAGGTGGGAAGCAGCAGGAAAAGAGGAAGACCCAACACGAGATGGACGGACTCCCTCAAGTAAGCCACAGGTGTGAGTTTTGCAAGACCTGATCTGTTGAGGACGGGGCATTTTGGAGACGGCACATTCATGGGGTCACCGTGAGACCAAGACAACTGGATGGCTCATAACAACAACTACTATTACATATGTCAAAAGTTTAATTTGTGCCTGTTGCCATAGAAAACAGCCAGGGGTATGTAACTCGCTCGACACAAGACAATCAGAAACCCAGTTTCTGGTTAGTCCTTTGCAGGGGGGACCCCGCAGGCTCAGGGGGGATCCGGCAGGGGAGGTTATGACAATAAGAAGAAGAAGAAGAATTCATAAATACAGAAGCTTGAGCGGCTTAGCAGGGTCTCCAGGGCTTGGCTGGCGGGCCGTCTCTTTCTTTTTCACCCCAGCCGAGGGTTTTCCGCTCATCATCCTTTTGCTTCCTCCGGCAGTAAGAGTCTCGCCAGCTGCTGGTCCGGGACGGACACCTCCTGGCAGGTTCCCAGCGCCCGGCTTAGGTAGACGGCCAGAAGGTGCTTGCACTGCAGGGGCCGGAGAGGGTTGTGGGGGGGAGAAGGGAAGTGGGTCCACATTAGCGCCAAGCGCAGAGAGAGAAGAAGCAACCGAGGACTGGAGGAGTAGAAGGCTGACATGTTCGGGGCCATTGATACAAAGCAGAAATTCAAATTATATCCCTCCCCCCTCCCGGCTGAATAATGATTGGATTAACTGCTTGTCTTTCTGTGCCTTCCAAGATTTTCCCAGTCGCTCTGGATCAGGGCCAGGACCATCCTTCCTTAGAGGAGATCCATGGAAATCAATGAGTGTTGACTCCATCAAGGCAAACTCCAGTCCCTTGGACACGGATGGGTCAACTCTATGGAGGATGGGGCCGAGATCCAATCTGTTCTCTCAGGAATCCTGACCACTCGGCGGAGGGCCCTAAGATGCTGAGCGCCAATAAGGTTTCGTTCGTTCCTTACTTAATTAGGAGAATAGCCAACGAGGGACTTTTGGCTCCCAGCTCTCCTTGGGAGAAGCCGGGATTTGAACCTTCAACTCTGGACGTGCAGAAACGAAGGCTTGGCTCCGGGCAACGATGGCCAGGTTAAGATTCTAGTCCTCATGTTTCATAATAAAAAATTGGTTTCGGGGAAGCTGTCTGATAGGGAGCCCACCTGTATATACAAAATGCTGCTGCTTTTTTTGGGGGGGGGTTGAGGTGGAGGGTGGGAGAGAACCACAAATGCCAGAATCCCACCATCCAGCAACTATGGAAGCTGTTGTTCAAAATTATTATAATAATAAAGCCATATTTTCAACCTCTGACTCCACTTGAAAAGTGTCTGCTCTTGGGGTAAAAAAGGCTTCCCCATCGCCCACAACCAGCTCTTTTTTAACTGGGGATGCTGGGAATCGGAACATCTCTCCCCAAAACATGGCCAGTTCTCTGCTCTTCCCACCAGGAGCTTTTTAAATTGACTTTCCCCACGTTCCTCTCCTCCCGAACTCACCACCAGGCTGTCGCCTTTCCGGAGGACAGAAAACATGAAGGCCGGGCAGGTACAGAAGTGGCAGGAGGCGTAACAGGTGTAGGTCTTCCTTGAACTGCCAACAACCTGCGGAGAGGCAGACAACGAAATGAAATAATATATATATAATCAGTGCTATATTTATACAGCACTGATTTAAAAAAAATAACCATATATAATATGGTTATTTTTAAAAAATCAGTGCTGTATAAATATAGCAGAGGAAAGAGTTTCAAAGCTATAAACCTCTGAGAAACAAGGACACATATTTGACTTAAATCAGAACTTCAAACCGATCCTTTCAAATTGCAAATACCAAAGAATCACTTGGCTAAGAATAACAAATAATTGGGAGTAAAGTTGGCCTCCGAGTGGTGTGGCAAGTTAGGCCAGGAAAGAGAGGGAACAATAAAGGAAATTATACCCTCCTTCCTAGCATAAATGGTATTTATTTGTTAGGTTCTTACCCTGCCAGTGAAATTTGGGCAGATTGGAAGGGCTCTCTTTTCTCCTTGTGAGAACCGTAACCCAAGACTGACCCAAGGAGCTTCATGGTGGTGAGGATTTGAACCCGGAACGTCCACATCCCACCCTTGGGGCTCGCGCGGCTACACCATAACCACAGCCGAACCACTGGAAATGCGGTTTGGGAGAGATATGCAGTATAAGAGGATGCACCACTAATTCAGCATTTTTCTGGGGGAAAGGAGGGGTTACTGCAGAAGCCAAGCCCTTCTGGGGGGGGGGATTTCTGCCTGGTGGGACATTTCTGGTCCCCACAGTGTTCCAGGAGTCCAGGACCCACCTCTCCCCTCGGGCAGATCCTGGGCTGAACCCCAGATGCTACGTAACCGGTTGGGCCCCAAAGACCTAATGCAGGCCTTGAAGGACTGTCACAGTCCAGCTGTCCTGGACGGCCCCAGAAAAACGGGAAATGAGAGCGTGGGGGGGGGGTTAGCCCAGAGCATAGAAACCAGGTGCCAGGACGCTCAGCCACCGATGCGTCAAAGGAAAAACTGGCCTGTGGCCAACGGGCACATCTTTTCTCCGGCGTCTGTCTGTGCCCCCCCCCCGTTCGGGCATGAATCGCCCACCCGCCCCCACCAGTCGATGGCTGCCAGAGGGTCTGGCCAGGGGAGCAGGGGCCGGGCCGCCATGTTGTCCGAGGAAACCCTGGCCCAAGACCAAGAGACACAAGGGCTCAGCTCCCCCTTCCTTCCTTCCCGAGCGATTTGTCACACAGCTAATCCACCTTCCCATCCTGGGATGTCTTAAGCCCGAAAGGAGCCGCGGGCAAGCATATTTCAGCCGGGCAGGTTTAGTCCACCTTATTGCTGCTGGTTTTGAGTGGGTGGGGGGGAGAGAGAGATGAGTGCACAAATCAAAAAGCAATTAAGATGGAAGTGATTTACAGAACAGAAGGGAAACGGAGAAGGGAACAAAGCAAAGAGGTCGGAAAAGCCGAGAAGAAGCAATCTCGCCAAGAAAGCGTTGGCCGCAAAATGGAACCATTCACCCAACTTGATCCTTCGGCCTTTTTCGAATCCGCCACCCACAAACCACTCTGTGTCTCTCCCGCTCCTCAATTTTCTCTGAGGTCCACCGGTGGCTTGCATGACGGGCCTTCTTTGGGGGAACACCTCATTTCCAGACATGATCAATAAGTTGTTCTCCTAGACTATGTGCCCCACATTCCCGTTGATTGTAGGATTTTATTGGCAGGTGGTTTTTGGGAACTGTGGTTGAAAACAAGAATCCAAAAGGTTTCCCATCTGTGAGCTCGGAAACTTAAATTGTTAGAATGCAGCAGCTTACTGTTGGAAATGTTATGTTTCTTGGACTACAAGTCCCAGAATCCACCAGCCAACACATACTGGCATGCGGATTCTGGGAGCCGTAGTTCAGCGCAAAGGTACTTTTTCAAACTGTGCATTTAAAAGGGAAAGTGGAGAGACCAGACCTGGTATACCATCCTTCCGCTCGGAGACGCAAAGCGGGTGACGGAGTGGCGATCGACCAGGTCCAAAGCCAGGACAGCAGAAGCCCCAAAGATGAATTTAAGCCTGCAAAGGAGTAAAAAAAAAAGGGCTGGGTATGTTTTACTGAAAATATTCAAAAAAATCCTTCCGTGGTGCCAGCTTCTGCCAGCAAAAGTATTTACAATTATAGGACAGAACCCTTGAGGTAGGGGTGTGTGTGTGTG